GACTACCATCATCAGCATCGTGATATGCAAAATTTTCGAGAAAAAAAAAGCTTGCACGCAAGCATGCATTTTTTTTCATATACAAGTCAGTGCCGATCTTTTTAGCCTTCTACCTTTCCGGGGTTTTCTAGCCATAAGACCCACATCTGGGCTTTTTCGCGCTTGAAAATGGCAAAAAATGAGCCTTTTTCGAGGCTTTCCAGGTCCACATTCAATGAAAAACGCCGGAAGTTTTTCGCGCCCCGCCTACCTCGTTTCGGACACCGCCCACTTACGCGTATTCACGGAATGTAGACCTGGAAAACTTTGAGAAAAGCTCGTTTCCGTCATTTTCATGCGCTGAGAAGCCCAGATATGGGTGTTTCATGGCAAGGAGGCTCCGAAAAAGTGAAAACTGGAAAACGAAATCATCCTGGTACATTTTTTTCCAGCCCTCATTGTATGAAAACGTTTTTGTGAGTAACACGTTTTGCAACATTGTATTGTGAAGTGGCTTCGATGAGTATGATGTTCTATTTTTTTAAAGGTGCTGCTAGTTCTTTTCAAGTATGCTTTGGTTCAGATCCGAAAACAGAAGGAGAAGATCCTACGCAAACTGCATGGTAGCCGCAGAAAGGCTCTGGATGAGCATGAAAATATGCTGGCCTTGGAGAAGGAAAAGGACAAGGATGCGTAATCTTGAAAGATGGTTTCGTGATCCTTTCCCATCCAAACAAAGATAAGTTTGCGTCATCAGTACGACGCTATATGCGGTTGTCGTTCGCTGAGGCCGTACTTTCCCTAACTTTTTTCCTCTCTCATAAAATATGCTGTCGAAGGTAGTGCAAACTGTTTCTCTACTTAACTTATAGCAAAACAACTTTCTCAATATTCAAATTCACTTTCACTATAGTAGAGTAGCGCTTATGCAGTTCTAGAAATGCAGTAGCCATTTTCCCCTGGTTCAATGACACAGACAGTGCGGCAGCGCTTCATACATCTGCACGTAAGCTTGTGGAGCATTGCTGCAGCGGTGTAAAGCTGAAGGCATTGACTAAAGTTGCGCATTATCTGCTGATTTGGACCACTTATAAGTGAATTTTCTTCTATCTTGTTAAGCGTGTATCTATCTGTGGGGGGACACAGCCCCAAGAGCTTTGTTCAACATATCAATATTTACTGAATCCCGTAATCAGGCCTAAATTTCTTCTTTGCTGACTCGCCTTTCGCATGTGTTAAAAGCTGATTCCATATATTTAAGATAAAAGGCTCGGGAGCTTTGCACACAGTGTCTGTATCAGCTTGAACTTGTTCCTTCTTGTACTAGGTAGTAAATAAACCCAAATGAGATAATTTGGAAATACAAACTCATCAGGGGCAGTGGACAGTGGACAGGTTAAATGGACCCTGCTCGGGTTTTGGCGGAGTTAGGTGGTAGACGTCCCAGGTATACACCGTAGCCCAAAGCCACCTGCCAATTCGTGCGCTAATTCCGGAAAAATGCGCTCCAAAACTCCATCAATGACTCCCACTCAGTGGTAATGGGCGGGGCTTGTGGAGTTTCGAAGCGCATTTTTTGAGACTTAGCTCATGAAATGGAAGTTGAAGTTTGGGCTACGGTGTACTTGGGGGGTCTACTACCCAATCGCCAAAATTTGGGAAGGGTCCATTTCGCCTGTCCACTGCCTTTAACCACACAATAGATTGCTCAAATATGTGTGCAAAGCCTACTCGAGTTTTCTATTCATAAATGTTAAGCGGCTATTTTCACCATTGATCCCTTTGTATCAAGTGTACAGTGCACCAGTTTGTGATCCGTTGTATAGACTTTGTTGTTTTATTGTTCTTCTTTTATTGGCTGCAATACCGCAGTCCCATATTTGTTGCTCTTTGAAACAAATGCCCAAATAGCTTCTTGTGCGTACAGTGTTAGCTCACATCACTGTTTGTATTATTTTCTAAGATTGTCTAGATATCTGAAGGCACGATCTACGCGGAAGCTTATTGGAGATAGGGGTTTATGAGGAGATTCAAGTGGATTTGCGTGAAATTTCGACGTTGGAAATATTCTATTATTATAAATCGAAGTTGGGGTTCACAGTTGTAGTGTTCCGGAGTGTTGGGATAATGCTCGCTTTCAGAGGCAAGTAGAACATCAGATTTGTTTAGTTTTATTTAGTGCGATCATTTCCGTAGAGGAAGAAATCTCGATTATATTGAGTGAAATGATCGCATTGATTTATATTCTTTATTACACTTTACACATTATTTCCATTGACGACCCAAAGAAAGGGACTATTTTATTTAATATAACATGCTATTTGTAGGGAACTTATAGTAGAGTTGCTGCTTGTTTTGCAGCTGAGGTTAGATTGTGCCTTCAGAATGTGATAAAGATGAAATATCCCAGAATTTTTTGCAAGTGCAATAAGTCTTCCTTATGATCTCCAACTTTCAGTTGTGTCCAGACAAATCTGATTTTGCTCATCTTGGGTGCTAGTTCTGTCATGAATCTAGTTCTACTCAATCTCTGTTGTTGTCATGCTGCTATCGATAAACATTTTTTCGTTGTCCTTTCAACGGGAGTGTTATTTTCTACGTGATCAAATTTTATTGTAACGAGAATCGTAGAATAACTGTTGACGAGGGCGGACCAACCTCTATAAACTACAATAGCCGCTTGCGCAGACATAGGACACAGTCTATCGGGATCAGTAATTGGTATGGTTGTAATGACCGAAATACCAAACCAAGCGTTGGATATCGAATGAGTTCTAAAGAATGGTCAAATGAGCGGACGCTGATCTTCGGTTGCAGAGATTCGAATGAACTTAGATATTGTGCAGTTCAATTTTTTTGGTGTTCAAATGATTGATTGGTTGAAATGAAATGATTAATGCGATTATTCATCCATCCTATACTGCAAAAAAGAATAGAATATTGTAAAATCTCAATACGCCGTTTTTCAGTAGCCCGAATATGGTTTACCTGAATAGGTCATTTTCCCACATTTGAATAAATGAATGATCAAACAAGTTGCACTTGCATTCATTCGACTACTAATTGACGTACCCGGTTCATAAAAGTACAAGCGTCAAAAGCATTAGGTAATCCGATAAATGTTGCTTTCGCGATCACCATACGACTTCCCCCCGTTTCAGGAAAAAATCGGAAAAAGCCAATATATTAATTGCAACTGATAATCTCTATGTAACGTGGGCCGTATTAGCCGCCTTGCCTCGAGGAGTATGTGGACAAAGTTTGGTTAAAGGCAGCGTCCACTCAAACTGGGGTGTACCTAGATCTCACTGTGTCGCGATAACAGGCCTCCACACTAAGCGAATAGTGAAGTCCGCAGCAAAAAATCGTGCTTGGGAAGCCTAAAACTCCTCTCGA